TGGGTGAGTCCCGGGTGGGTCGCGGGTGGGTCGCAAATAGGTCGCGGGTGGGTCGCGAGTGGGTCGCTGTTTGGGTCGTGGGTGGGCCGCGGGTGTAGAGGGCTGAATCCAACCCATAATAATCACCCCAGCAAACGAAGCCGTTTAGTAAACGCACACAAGGAATGCATCGAACAGGGCAGGGTTGCTTAGAAAACGCCCAGGGCCATTTAGCAAACGTCAATTGTCGGATCCGGGTAGTTTTTGCTCCCTTGAGGGTGGGTCGCGGGGTGGGTCGCGGGTGGGTCGCGGAGTGGGTCGCGGGTGGGTCGCGGATGGGTCGCGGATGGGTCGCGGGGTGGGTCGCGGATGGGTCGCGGGGTGGGTCGCGGGTGGGTCGCGGGGTGGGTCGCGGGTGGGTCGCGGGGTGGGTCGCGGGATGGGTCGCGAACGACAGCAGGGTCACGAAGGGCACGAAGTAGGCCACGAATGGCAGCGAGGGGGCCACGAAAGGCTGCAACGGGGCCACGAAGGGCAGCGATGGGGCTACGACGGCGACAGCGGGGCCACGAAGGGCACGCACATGGGGCCACGACGGGCGCGAACGAGCGGGGGCCACGAAAGGGCTGCAACGGGGCCACGATGGGCATCGAGGGGGCCACAAAGGGCTGCAACGGGGCCACGGAGGGCAGCGAGGGGGCCACGAAGGGCTGCAACGGGGCCACGAAGGCAGCGAGGGGGCCACGAAGGGCTGCAACGCGGCCACGAAGGGCCGCGAGGGGGCCACGAATGGCCGCAACGGGGCCACGAAGGGCAGCGATGGGGGCCACGAATGGCCGCAACGGGGCCACGAAGGGCAGCGATGGGGGCCACGAGGGGCTGCAACGGAGCCACGAAGGGCAGCGAGGGGGCCACGAGGGGCTGCAACGGGGCCACGAAAGTGCAGCGATATCCCGATTCCTAAGTAATCTGTGAGGGAGGCATAAGCGTGAGCGCGACTCCTGGGTGCGTGAGTGTCGGGAGCGCGGCGCTTGAGTAAATTGTTGGGAATTCCAGCGCAAAGGCGCTGTTCTTGAGTAAGTCGCAAGTAAATCTCCGGCGAGTGCGCGAGTCCAGAACGCCGAGAGAGCGATGCTTGGACAAAGTGTAAGGAAGTCCTAAGCGAGAGCGCGATTCCTGAATAGAATGCGAGGAAGTCTCTGGCGGGAGCCGTTTCGTCTTGCAATCTGGGGACCAACGACGCATGTTGAGGTTGAAGCATACCCCTGATAACAGAACAGGGTGCGAGCGCCGGGAGGGGCATTTCATTTGAAGCATACACTGTGTACTCGAAGGGGGATTAATAATAATTATTCTTCAGTAGTGACAGTTCAACAACAACAGCAGCAGCAACAACAACGCAACAAGCAGAATTCTCACCACGAGTTCTTTTTATTTTAGCCACGCACCCAGGGACAATGAATGACCGTTCGGCCCCCTCACTCTGATATACGTATATATGGTTATGAATACGCATCTATTTAGTTAAATGTAAAGATGCTCACATGTCACATGTGTACATATATCATAAATGTGTATCTGTATGCGCATGCACATATATTTACATGTATGTTGCGTCTTTCAACAAACGAGCCTCAGACAATCTTGGGCAGGATATTCCTTGTAAACCAGTGGTTACATCCATGCAAGTATCGTTTTGCAGGCATGTCCTTGTATATCGGTGTCTACATTCGTGTAGGCACAGCTTTACAAGGAGATTTCTTGCAAACCGGCATGTACATCCATGTAGGCCTCCGCTTTTCTTTGCAAATGCTACTGCAACAAGGGAAATGCGTGTTAGACGGGTTCTGGTTCCCCCAGACTTTTTTCCCGGAAAGGGCCTGGGCCCAGGGTTCTCTTTTAGTGGGTAAACCTGTCCCCCGGTGCCAACTTGAAGGAGGCCGGCGAATTTTTTCCCTGATAAATAACGAGGTCGAAGGAGGCCGGCGAATTAAAATTTGAGGATGTCTCGAGCGAAACGCTTGTTTTTGAAATCCCGATCGATAAATCACAGGGTGCGGGCCACTTTTTCGTGTGTTGAGGATGTCTCGAGCGAAACGCTTGCTCCGCAGAGTTTGCCGAGGATGTCTCGAGCGAAACGCTTGTTTTGCAGAGCCGACCGCGACGCGGAAAAGCGCCCCGCGCGAAGGAATTTCGATGATGTCTCGACTAATTCGTTTGTTTTTGTACGATTTCCTGGAATTTTGGCAGGATGTCTCGAGCGAAATGCACGACCCCACCCTAGCACGACCATACCCCAGCACGACCACACCCCAGCACGACCAGACCCCAGCACGACCCCACCCCAGCACGACCCCACCCCAGCACGACCATACCCCAGCACGACCACACCCCAGCACGACCCGACCCCAGCACGACCCTACCCCAGCAAGACCACACCCCAGCACGACCACACCCCAGCACGACCTCACCACAGCACGACCACACCCCAGCACGACCACGCCCCAGCACGACCACGCCCCAGCACGACCACGCCCCAGCACGAGCACGACCACACCCCAGCACGACCACCCCCAGCACGACCACACCCCAGCACGACCACGCCCCAGCACGACCACGCCCCACGACCACACCCCAGCACGACCACCCCCCCAGCACGACCACCCCCCAGCACGACCACACGACCACAGACCACCCCCAGCACGACCACACCCCCAGACCACACCCCAGCACGACCACACCCCAGCACGACCTCACCACAGCACGACCACACCCCAGCACGACCACGCCCCAGCACGACCACGACCACGACCACCCCCCCACGCACCCCCCCAGCACGACCACCCCCAGCACGACCACCCCCCAGCACGACCACACCCCAGCACGACCACTCCCCAGCACGACCACACCGCCTTGGTTGAGTGGTTGCCTGTCGTCGTGGAATGTTTCGTGGGGTGTCTCGTGGAATGTTTCGCGGGGTGTCTCCTGGAATGTTTCGTGAGGTGTCTCGCGGAATGTTTCGTGAGGTGTCTCGTGGGATGTTTCGTGAGGTGTCTCGTGGGATGTTTCGTGAGGTGTTGCCCCGTTGGGTATCGTGAAAACGTGCCCATGCTCCACATGTCTATATCCCTTTCCGGGTTCGTGGGTCCATCATGTTTATATGGTTTCGCCCCAAGAACGTCATCTTTCGTACCTCGTTCTTTCCATCACCTGGGCCCCCGAGTCAAACAGAAGCGTCTGAAACACCAGGTCGTGGGCCGACTAGAGGGCCACCAGGAGAGGTGAAGAACGTGTGCGGGAGGTTCGCGTCGTGTCGACTAGTTGCGACCCCGCCGCCGGCGTTTGTTTGTTTGTTTGTTTGTCTATCTGACCGCTCCCTCCAATAGGTATTGTGTGACCGTTCGCGTCGTGTCGACCGGCGGCGACACCGCCGCCGGCGTTCCACGTTGAAAACCGTTGGCGACCCAGAATCGGTCGATGGTGACGATCTGACGTCTCGGAAACGGCTGGCCGTTCAAGGTGGAAAGGCCCCCCGCGGTGGTGTCAGGAGCCAGCGCCGAAGTGGGCACGACACAGACTTGCTCGCTCGCGCCGTGAGCAAATCACGGCGGGAGGTTCTTGGTCGGCTTGGGCCTGTGGGGGACCTTACCCAGTCCTGGGATAGTCAGCAAGCAAATTCAGTATGGAAAATGCTGGCCTGGGGGTACAAAAAGTTCCGGACGAAAAGCTGGCCCTTTCAGGCTCAGTTTGGTGGGCCCATTCCAACGGTAGGACCCCGCCTCCCCTGAGAGTATGTATACACTCTTTGGTAATAGTCCTCATCGTTGTCTTTGTGATTGTGGCAGCCATCTCCTTTCTCCTCCTCGTCCTCCCACCACCTCCTCATCCTCCTCTGCATTCGCCTCTTGCCTCCTCCTCAGCTGGCTGCCTCCTCCTATGGGGGGGCCCGCCCCAGACTTCCTCAAGATTCATGCCTCAAGAGCCCCAACGCGACGATAGCTACAGAGTTCCGATGAGGCCCCTCGTCTGAATAGCACGAGCAAGGCCCCCTATAAAGGGAGGGCAAACCCGCTCCAGGCTTCCTCGCAATTCACTCGCAGACCAGGCCCCCGCTCGAGACGTCCTCCTCCTCCTCCTCCTCGTCCTCCTCATCTCCTCCTCCTCCTCCTCCTCCTCCTCCTCCTCCTCCTCCTCCTACTCCTACTCCTACTCCTCCTCCTCCTCCTCCTCCTCCTCCTCCTCCTTCCCCCCTCCTCCTCCTCCTCCTCCTCCTCCTCCTCCTCCTCCTCCTCCTCCTCCTCCTCCTCTAGAGCACAACACCGATGACGGTTGCAAGTTTCGGATGGCCGCCTCGGAATAGTTACACAAGGTGGGGACCCCATAAGGAAGAGGTTCCCGCTCGACGTTGTCTCGCGATGCACTCACAGATGAGGTTTCCGCGCGAGACGTCTTCGGCATTCTACATGCGTGCTTCAATGGAGGGCCCTATGTGGAAGGGACCCCGCTCGGGACATCGTCGATATTAAGACCTCAGGTTCCCAAGAGTGACGACTGTTACGAGCTGCGGATTGAACATACTAAGAATGATCCCAATACGTAGAGGGTTCCCGCTCAAGACTTGCCCGCGATCAACTCACACAGACAAGGCTCCCGCTCAAGACATCCTCCAGATTCACACCTCGGCGCAACACCGACGACAGAGTCCATTTCGGATGCAAGGCATGAAGCCGCAGCCCAATGGGGTGAGGCTCCCGCTCGAGACTTCTCTGCGATTCGCTTAAAGACACGACTTCCGCTCGAGAGTGCGTGATGGAAACGGGGCGTCGTCTGTATACGCTTCATTGGTACAAGTCCCAACCTTCCCCGCTGTGGAACCGCCTTCGCCCCCCCTTCTCGAACATGCCCCACCCTCTTCTTCCGAGCCCCTCCCGCCCGGCCGCCTCCCCTGCGAGAACCCAGTTGCCGAAGTCGTGCGGGTGTGTGGCTGGTTGTTTGAAGTTGTGTTCTCTGTATCCCATCAGGTAGACATGGACAGAGTGGAGGAGATGGTGGCCTTGCTGGACGCCGCGTCTAGCGAGAAGGATGCGAAGGCGGCAGCGCACAAGGCTGAGGCAGACTCGCTGAGAGCCCAGCTCGATGTCGCGGAGCAGGAGAGGAAAACGGAGGAGGATGCCGCTCGGAACCGACTGGCCGCAGCAGAGGGGGATAAGAATGCGAAGGCAGCAGAGGTTGACGCACTCAGAGACCGACTGGCTGTCGTCGAGGAGGAGAAGACGGCAAAGGCGGTCGGAATGGACGCGCTCACCGCCAAACTCGCCGAGGTGGAGGAGGAGAAGAAGGCGAAGGCGGCGGTGGATAGGGCCCTTTTGCAGGCGAAGGCCGACGAGGTGGAGCTGCTCCGATCCCGACTGGACGCAGCGGAGAAGGAGGGGAAGGCCAGGGCCGAAGAGGCGAAGGAGCTCAGGGACAGACTGGACGCGGTGGCGAGGGAGAGGAGGGCGAGGGCGGACGGGGCGGCCGCACGGGCCGTTCCCTAGATCTGGGGCGGGGCGCCTCTTCGTGGCCGCGGCTCGCCGTGGCCAGAAAGGCCCCTGCGCTCCTCCTGCAACGTTCCTTCCTTCGCGGGCGAAGGCTGAACGGAGTAAGCAGTGGGTCGGGCATGTCCCCCTACAGGCGGATTTTGAACCAAAAACACAACTTACGCGAAACGTGTCCCAAAATTAACAACAGTAGTCAAACAATCGTCCCCAGACTATTGATCGACTATTATTGAATGTTCCTCCTGTAGAGGGACGTGCCCGACTTAACGTAATTAAGCAGATTGCCGCCATCGGGGACGCCTGCCCTGGGGCGGCTGGACAGTTTTTCCCGGAAAGGGCCTGGGCCCAGGGTTCTCTTTTAGTGGGTAAACCTGTCCCCCGGTGCCAACTTGAAGGAGGCCGGCGAATTTTTTCCCTGATAAATAACGAGGTCGAAGGAGGCCGGCGAATTAAAATTTGAGGATGTCTCGAGCGAAACGCTTGTTCCCGGAAAGGGCCTGGGCCCAGGGTTCTCTTTTAGTGGGTAAACCTGTCCCCCGGTGCCAACTTGAAGGAGGCCGGCGAATTTTTTCCCTGATAAATAACGAGGTCGAAGGAGGCCGGCGAATTAAAATTTGAGGATGTCTCGAGCGAAACGCTTGTTTTTGAAATCCCGATCGATAAATCACAGGGTGCGGGCCACTTTTTCGTGTGTTGAGGATGTCTCGAGCGAAACGCTTGCTCCGCAGAGTTTGCCGAGGATGTCTCGAGCGAAACGCTTGTTTTGCAGAGCCGACCGCGACGCGGAAAAGCGCCCCGCGCGAAGGAATTTCGATGATGTCTCGACTAATTCGTTTGTTTTTGTACGATTTCCTGGAATTTTGGCAGGATGTCTCGAGCGAAATGCACGACCCCACCCTAGCACGACCATACCCCAGCACGACCACACCCCAGCACGACCAGACCCCAGCACGACCCCACCCCAGCACGACCCCACCCCAGCACGACCATACCCCAGCACGACCACACCCCAGCACGACCCGACCCCAGCACGACCCTACCCCAGCAAGACCACACCCCAGCACGACCACACCCCAGCACGACCACACCACAGCACGACCACACCCCAGCACGACCACGCCCCAGCACGACCACGCCCCAGCACGACCACCCAGCACGACCAGCACGACCACCCCCAGCACGACCAGCACGACCACCCCCACACCCAGCACGACCACGCCCCAGCACGACCACACCCCAGCACGACCACACCCCAGCACGACCACTCCCCAGCACGACCCCACCCCAGCACGACCCCACCCTAGCACGACCACACCCCAGCACGACCACACCCCAGCACGACCCCACCCCAGCACGATCACACCCCAGCACGACCCCACCCCAGCAAGACCACACCCCAGCACGACCGCACCCCAGCACGACCTTACCACAGCACGACCACACCCCAGCACGACCACGCCCCAGCACGACCACGCCCCAGCACGACCACGCCCCAGCACGACCACGCCCCAGCACGACCACGCCCCAGCACGACCACCCCCCAGCACGACCACCCCCCCAGCACGACCACCCCCCAGCACGACCACCCCCCAGCACGACCACCCCCCAGCACGACCACACCCCAGCACGACCACTCCCCAGCACGACCACACCGCCTTGGTTGAGTGGTTGCCTGTCGTCGTGGAATGTTTCGTGGGGTGTCTCGTGGAATGTTTCGCGGGGTGTCTCGTGAAATGTTTCGTGAGGTGTCTCGTGGAATGTTTCGTGAGGTGTCTCGTGGGCTGTTTCGTGAGGTGTCTCGTGGGATGTTTCGTGAGGTGTTGCCCAGTTGGGTATCATGAAAACGTGTCCATGCTCCACATGTCTATATCCCTTTCCGGGTTCGTGGGTCCATCATGTTTTACCCTGACAGGCCCCCGTGCAGTGGAGAGCCTTGCCAAGAGACACCCTGCTTGCCTCCAGGGATGCCCTGGGCTTCTTGGGTGTCGATGGTTTTGCTGTGGGAAGCGCGACGCTCCCACACCCAAAATCAAGGGATGCCCTGGGGTCTCCAGGCTGGGTGTTTTCGTGGAGGGTCTCTTGTGGATTGGCCTCCGCTGTAGGTACGGGTGTCCCAGCCGCCCTGGGACAGCCGTCCCCGACGGCGGAAGAGCTGCTTTTCGTTGCCGTCCTTCGCCCGCTGATTTTTGGCAGCGCAATGGTCGAGTCGGGCATGTCCCCCTACCGGAGGAGTATCCAAGAACAGTCCAAAAGCAGTCTGGGGACGATTTTGTCTGCTATGCTCGAATATGTTTGAGAAATGTCTGACTGTTTTTGTTCAGCTTTCTTCCAAGATCCGCCTGTCGGAGGACATGGCCCGACCTAACACAATGGTTGTACTACCACCATCGCCATCATCACCGGTGCCACCAGCTGGTCGCCGACTAGTGCGCCGACGCGACCCTGGCCGCCCCCAGCTGCCAGCGGCACCGCGTCGGCTTCTCTCCCTTGGCATCGCTCAGACGTGTGCATTTTTTCTCGGCGAGGACCATTGAGGAGCATCGTGGATCATCTTGCGAACAAAATTAAAGCCGGAGTGCAGTATCCCCAAACAGGGTTTTTAGACCCACTGCGGTTTCCAAGGTCGATTGCGTGCCCGCCTAGTGCGGGCTGGCATGGCATGTTAAAACATGCTTCCTCCTCCTCCTCCTCGTCCACCTCCTCTTCATCCCGAAAGGCATCTCGGAACCCAGAGTTGCGAGGATGTCTCCAGCGTAACGGGCTGGACCACCTCGCGCGCGGCATTTCGGACCCCAGAGTTGCGACGATGTCTCGGGCGAAACGTGCTGCGAGGAAGTCTCAGGCGAAACGGGCCGGACCACCTCGAGCGCGGCGTCTCAGAGCTCCGAGTTGCGGGGGCCTCCTGGTGCCTCCTGGGGCCTCCTGGGGACCTCCTGGGGCTTCCTCCCGGGCCTCCTGTGGCCTCCTGAACTCCACCTGAGGTTTCCTGAAGCATCTTGGGGCTCCCAGGGGGGATATCTAACCTGTGGCCGTTTGGGCCTCTCCAAATACAGGGGGGGGCCACAGGAGCAGGAAAAATCAACGAATCGACACCGGATGTGTATTAACTTGACACGTTCTGATAGAGGGCCTCCTGGGGCCTCCTGGGAGCCTCCTGGGAATCTCCTGCGGACCCCTGGGGCCTGTCCTGGGCGTCCTGCGGCCTCCTGAAGCTCTCTGGGACCTCCCCCTCCTCCTGCCTGCTCCCTCATGCACATCATCCGCCTCCTCCTTCTCCCTTCCATCTCCTCCTCCTCCTCCTCCTCCTCCTCCTCCTCCTCCTCCTCCTCCTCCTCGTCTTCATCGCGAACGGCATTTCGGAGCCTAGAGTTGCGAGGATGTCTCCAGCGTAACGGGCTGGACCACCTCGCGCGCGGCATCTCGGACCCCAGAGTTGCGACGATGTCTCGGGCGAAACGTGCTGCGAGGAAGTCTCAGGCGAAACGGGCTGGACCACCTCGAGCGCGGCGTCTCAGAGCTCCGAGTTGCGGGGGCCTCCTGGTGCCTCCTGGGGCCTCCTGGGGACCTCCTGGAGCTTCCTCCTGGGCCTCCTGTGGCCTCGTGAACTCCACCTGGGGTTTCCTGAAGCCTCTTGGGGCTCCCAGGGGGGATATCTAACCTGTGGCCGTTTGGGCCTCTCCAAATGGAGGGGGGGGGCACAAGAGCAGGAAAAATCAACGAATCGACACCGGATGTGTATTAACTTGACACGTTCTGATAAGCGGCCTCCTGGGGCCTCCTGGGAGCCTCCTGGGAATCTCCTGGAGACCCCTGGGGCCTGTCCTGGGCGTCCTGCGGCCTCCTGGTGCCTCCTGGGCCTCCTGGGGACCTCCTGGAGCTTCCTCCTGGGCCTCCTGTGGCCTCCTGAACTCCACCTGAGGTTTCCTGAAGCATCTTGGGGCTCCCAGGGGGGATATCTAACCTGTGGCCGCTTGGGCCTCTCCAAATGGAGGGGGGGGCACAAGAGCAGGAAAAATCAACGAATCGACACCGGATGTGTATTAACTTGACACGTTCTGATAGAGGGCCTCCTGGGGCCTCCTGGGAATCTCCTGGGGGCCCCTGGGGCCTGTCCTGGGCGTCCTGCGGCCTCCTGGACCTCTCTGGGGCCTCCTGAGGCTCGCAGGGTCCCATGGAGGATATGTAACATGTGGCCTTCTGGGCCCCCAGGCTGGACCACCTCTTGCGCAGCATCTGAGAGCTCAGAGTTGCGAGAATATCTTGTGCGAAACAGGCCGGACCACCTTGCGCACGGCATCTCAGATCTCAGAGTTGCAAGGATTTCTCAGGCGAGACGGGCCGGACCACCTCGCGCAGGGCATCTCAGAGCTCAGAAGTTCGAGGATGTCTCAGGCGAAACGGGCCGGACCACCTCGCGCGCGGCATCGGGGAGATCAGAGTTTCGAGGATGTCTCAGGCGAAACGGGCCGGACCACCTCGCGCGCGGCATCTTGGAGCTCAGAGTTGCGAGGATGTCTCAGGCGAAACGGCCCGGACCACCTCTCGCGCGGCATCTGGGAGCTCAGAGTTTCGAGGATGTCTCAAGCGAAACGGCCCGGACCACCTCTCGCGCGGCCTCTCAGAGCTCAGATTTAGGAGGATGTCTCAGGCGAAACGCTCAATCCCGGACAACTCAGAAACGAGAGTTGTGAGGATGTCTCAGGCGAAACGGGCCGGACCACCACATTTGTTTGAGGATGTCTCTGCTTAGCTTTCCCTCGGCCGGAATTAGCTTCTATCACAACAGCACCCCGTTCAGCAAGCTGTTTGGGGAAAAAACCGCACGAAACCTCAGGAAGCACGGGGAAAGGACGTCCCAGCGATAGCAAGTCTCCAGCTCAACCCAAACCGCCAGACCTCTGCATGCAGGAGGTTTGCTTACCATCGTAAGCATCCTCCTCCAGGGTCCATTTCCAGATCCGATGGATCCGATTCAATGTCGACTCCAGTCGGCCCGA